CTAGTTTTCTCTTCTCTTTGCCTTTCTAGGCGTCGAACTCGGTCAGCTAGCTGCGCCATATCTCTGAGATACTGGGTATCCAATTTTTTCCTAATGGAATAATCTAGGCCCCTTGCGGCCATTTCAACTAGTTCATGCTCTGGAACTTGCGTGAAGCACATGGCTTTAAGAAGTCGAAACCTATTCAGGTAATCATCAATTGGCTTAGTACCCTTACATTTGATACTAGCCAATTCCTTCAAACTAATCTTGGTTTGCTCCATATAGAACTGTTCATGAAACAAGCGCTCTAATTGAGCCCAATTATAAACTGAATTGGAAGGCAACGTAGTAAACCATGTAAAAGCATTTTTTGTGAGAGAACTTGGGAAATATTTGACCCTAAGGCTCTCGTCACCAACTATCTCTCCTGCTTCGATCATGTACCTAGCCACGTGTTCGACAGTTGATTCAGTAGTGTCCCCTGCGAACTTACTAAATTTTGGAACCTTCGTCCTATGAGGTAACTCAACCTGCAAAATATAATCTACTATAGGTGAAGTATAATTTGGCCTTGTAAAGCCAAAGTTTGCTCCATTTCTGGTCATTATTCTTTCGACCATAGCTGCAAGATTATTCTCTTCTGTTGCATCGTGATGTCAAACTTGTATAAGTATTTGGTCATCATTCTGATTTTTATTCACCATGACTATTCCTGGTTCTTCCTCCATATGGGTCGGTACCTGGTTCCTTTGTGGTTCGACTCTAAAAGGTTCACTCATTTCTTGGTCCTCTATATTCGCCTCATGGAAGTTTCGTTGCTGATATCGTGGAACGTTCTCGACAACTGTTGCTCTTTGCTCAAATGTTGGTACTCTCATAAAATCAGTCATACGGGCTCATTGCGTCGTCACCTGCTGATTAGTTTTAGTAGTATTATGAATTAGAGGTTGGAAGATCTCTCCCATTATCTGAGACAACGTGTGCACCATTTGCATATTAATTTCATCCATTTGTTGTCTTAAGCAGTTTATAGATGTATTCGTAAGACTAGGCGCTTGCCTAAAGTAACCAACACTTATACTCTGGTTGTTTCGACCACCTAACTCAGCTCCTTGTACTGGCGAGGATACCACATTTTCTAAATATATGGATGGAGCATTCTGCAAATTCTGCATTATTGACGTAGACATACCATATGGTTGGTTCCTTGATAATGGTTGTGAGAAACCTGGAGGAGGAATTTGCTTGTATATTGAACTTCCTGGGGGTGTTAGCGAATTAGGACTTTGGGGTCCTACATATTCCAACACAGGTTGAATATACGTTCGTACACATGTTAATCCTGGACTCACCATGGGCTGCACTTGTTCAGACACCACTATTGGTGGTGGCATCTGTCCTCCCGTCGAAGAAATTGGATATGGAGTATTCTAAGACCCCATGCTCGACTGAGCATTTGAAATGCTTCCTTGAGGATCAACTTGTTGATTAACACTTGTTGCCATTTTTTTAGTGTATCTTCTTTTTGGTACTTCTTCATGTGTTGTGGCTAACTTTCCACTCCTTAATAACATACAACGAAGTACTCGCCCAAAAGATTAATGTAAACTTTGAAATGCTTAGCATTGGGTCCCATCAGGTGTGCCAATTTGTTTACTATGAATTTTGGTAAACAACCAATGGTTTATCAATTTAGGGTAAAATTGACTAACTTGCAAGATCGACCATACTAAATCCTAGAACATGTGCTAAGTATGCAAAAAGACCCTAAGTTGAACTTCACGTTCGACTATGAAATCTTTTGGAAAGTAAGATGACTTGAAGGTTAAAAGAAAGCAAGTAATGCGTCAAAGGTTAAAAGGCAAGAATGCAAAAGTGCAGTAATGTAAAAGCTTTTAAAAGTAAATGACTTTGAAAATAAAGGCAATAATGTAAATGTGCCAAAGACTATAATCTGAACTCCGCGTTCGACTATGGAATCTTTGAAAATAAAGGTGCAGAAAAGTTAAATGGCATTTAATATTAAAGGTGCAAAAGATGCTAATCTGAACTCCGCGTTCGACTAGGGGATCATTAAAAATAAAGGTGCAGAAAAGTAAAATGGTATGGAAAGTAAAGGAATTTTTAAGTTGAGGGAAAGCTTGTAAAACAGTTTAAATGTAAAAGCTGAAGGTTAAAGGGCAACAAGTAAATGGCAAGAACGAGTAAATTGCATTAAGGAAAAGGGGTTGGTATTGTATCACGTACATTCTCGCTAACTCGTTTCTCTACACGCAGGTACTTTGAATTGTATGGAGTGACTAGTATAGAAATGAATGAACACCTCTATTACATAAAAATAACACCTATTTATAGTGCTAGAAAGTAACCACTTAGATGACGGTTGAGGCTTCACAACGTGTCTTTTTGGCGCTTTTTGTAGTCTTCAACTTCTCTCACGTTCGCCCACTATCACTTTGAATTTAGACATTAAGAACTCCCTCCAATTTTGATAGTAACTGCCTTGCGCTCCCTTCAGCATAATCTTGGTCGAGAATGTTTCCAACACTTAGTATTTTTTTTAGGAACTTTGTCCACCTTCCTTCGACTCGGATTTCTTCATAGTCGTGTCGAAACTTTCACATGTGCTAAAGTGACATTTTGACTTAAGATGATTATGACTTTCACTAGCGTCGAAAATGAGAGCTAACAGTAATGTGCATTTCAATTTTGGTTACTTACCATTATTTTTACTTGTTTATATGACATTGCTTTAAGTGTCGAGTTCATTTCTCTAAGAGATAGCTTGTTTTTTGAAGTCGTGCTTGAAGTTTATTAGACGTCTCTAGAGTCGTGTTCGATCAAGGGTTGATACCTCTTCCATGCCTCCGGGTGAAAACCTGGTTCGAGGTTGACATGGTAGGGACTCACATCGGCCTCTAGAATGGCTAGCTACCAAGACAGGGTGAGCGCGTTATTTCCACTTTGTTTTCTTTATCTTTCACTGTGGATTTGAATTGGTTTCCCATATGCTTGGAGATTTTTGGCAAGGCCCCGACATCGTTTTCCATGGGGTTTAACTTCTTTAGTCATTCACCCCATAGATTTTACTATTACTTTGTGACCACAAGGAAAAGGAAAAAAGTAGTGAAAATATATTTATTCTTAAGGAAAGAAATGTCATTATATCATAGTAGTAATTTTCCTTATACACATGAAATAAGGGAAAATTTAACCAAGTGGAATGACCATTTCTTATTATCCTCCAGTTCACTGGGTGGTGAAGAAGTCACATAGATTCTTCCATGAGTTAATGCTTTCATTTGAAGGGTTTTATACCACGTCATGGCAGCTCCGGTGAGGGTTATCACAAAGAGCTTACACTTACAGCCCCAAGGGTGTGGTAGTAGTCTAACCTGTTATCGACATGCTCTACATGTTCGTCAGGATCTCCAATTTCGTCATAGTATGCCAGCTTTAGATGTTTCTCTAGATACCTGGGATGTTTGCTATCAAGGATGTGAGCAAACAGCGGGTTCCTCTTTTGTTTTGCAGTAGGAGCATCCACATTGTATTTTTCTCTCCTCTAAGAATGGTGCTTCAGTTATTGATGACGGTTATGGTCTTTGTATCCCCTACTTCGATGGCAGCTTAGAGATCATGGAGTAACTTCACGTGGTGTTGTCGCTCTATTAGAGATTGGATATGGTATTGCGACAGGATTGTCGTGCGTAGTCGCTCCCCATATGTTACTATCTCTTAAAAGGGCATATTGTAAGTTTTCTTCAATTCTTATAATCAATGTCTCCTATGAATTGATATTTTTTTTGGTGCGCTAAGGTGTACACGAAGTTCAATAGGTCATTGGCTCCCTGGATGCCTAGATTGGCTTGTTGCAGTTAGAGGCTAGGAAGCATCCCATGTCCTGGTACTAAAGGTTGCAAGGGAGGTAGGCTCGAAGGTTCCCCTTCATAAGGAAGAGGTAAAGGTTAAGAAGTTAGAAAAGTTTGGAATGCTCCTTGATTGGCTCTTGGAGGAGCCAAATCCTGCAGTGTTAGAACGGAGAGTAAGGTCACTAAAATAGGATCGACTATCTCCAAGAGAAGAGGGTGAGCCCTGCTAGCTTTAACAAATGCGACTTCGATAGAAAGAGTCATTTTTAAATTCACCATAGCTTTAGAAGTTTGATACCAAATTATACAGGAAGAGATCGGTGTTTGCGAGAAGATCGGAGATCTGCGATAGAGAAATACGATGGTTCTTTGTGGAATTCGTAGGAATCAGAAGTTGATTCTCACAATGGCACCATTGCTCAGTTCATATTTAAAAATGATCGATGAAATGATGAAGTAATGTCTTACTGCGGTGGATTTGTGTTTTCGATGCGGTGAATTTGTGTGACCTGGAAGGTTAGCGCTTCAATGCCCAAACCAGTGGGAGAATAAAGAGTAATGTGAGTGAAAATGAGTTTGAGTACCTGAAATTACGCGCTTTTGTTTTATATATAGCGTGAGCAGTTAAAGTCGTCTGCGTAAGATGAGACGCGTTGTGCAAATAGCTATTAGATCTAATCTGATGGTACTTGACGTATCTGGGGGCCGAAATCGTCTACTCTTGATAGAATGAGAGACCGCCTAATTCTTGCGAACGGCCCAAAATATTTCCTATTATAAATTATATTTTTTAAAAAAAATACTATTTTCTTCTATTATTATTTTAGAAATCATATAAAAAATGTAAATATTTTTTATTTCAATTAATTTATAATTATTATTATTTGAATATTTTGATGTATATATAATCAATAAACAAACTTCATGCGAACTTAATAGCGCCATGCAAAGTTGTAGATCCACATGTCAACTTTACGATATACTCCAAACAAACATAATTGTTCATATTCAACAAACAACGAAGGCCACAGGAGTGAAGAATTTCCTTCATCGATCAAACTACAGAATCAAAGTAAAAAAACAAAGCCAAAAACACAAAATTATATATCCTTCATTACACCTTTTGTGATCATTGGCTTTTGATTTATGGATGACATACAGACAGGTAATAATACATTGTTAAGAACAACTCAAATTTCATCAGCATCTATATAAATTTATCAATTTGTTTTTCATAAATTCCTATAGCAATGTAACTAGCGGTATTATATAATATGATTTATATTCCTCAAACATATCCAATGTTGTTCATTCAGATTATAATGCCAAACCCAGCTTTACACAGATCTTGGTACTCTCATCTATTGGGTTGATATTTTTCATAGCATTGCATTATCACCTCAAAAAGATTCGAGATCAAAAGATCATTCCGCGTTTAAGATTTTCGCGTGCAGGTCACCCCCCAAAGCTTGAAAGATTCTCTCATTACGTAGGTAAACAAAAATATGCATTCTTTTCAATTACATACATGGATGGATCCACTATTATTTTATCATTTGGAAATTGAAATGAATCTATATGTAATTTTCTTTGATTTGTTACAGCTAGGCAAATGGGGTTCAAGGATAGGCGAATCGGTCCTGATCTATGTAGATTGGCTTCTGAATACATAAGCAAATGTGAGGGGTTTGAAGATGATATATATGCCTATTTTGAGAATGAACCAGATGCTGATTCACTTTATGTCAAGTTGGTGGAAGAGTTTGAGAGATGCATTCTTAGTTACTTTGGATTTCATTGGAACTATTGTGACATATTGATAAGTCAGGTATCAATCAGGGTTGTTTAATTATTAACAAATACAACAGGTGTTCGCAGCAATACACTCTCTAAAACTGAGATTTTTTTGGCTTTGCAGGTCTTGAGCTCGGAAATTTCTGAGCCAAAAAAGAAGTTAAAGAACATAGTTATGGCCGCTACTAGGTGTGTATTTCTAACATTCTCTAAGAACAGTAAGATTTGGATTTGATGCAGTAGTTGTTCGCGCAAATGCTGATCTTGACCGCTCAATCTGAAATGAAGCTGAGATCGTTTAACGCTGATTTTGTTAAATATAAGTATTTCGATCTCATATCAATGGTCGAGATCGTTTTCTACATGGAATTACTACCGCAGGCAATTCGGTCCATGTTCAAAAGAGTTAATTCAGATAGTATCTTTGTTTCTTTGCACAGGGATCAAAGGTTCGAGAGAGTTGCCAAGAATCTGAAGGTGACTAGTGTTTTTAATACATTAGTGGAAGAGATGAAAGCGATGGGTATTGCAGTAAACGATGACTCTCAATGTACCGAGGTAATGGCTCCGGTGGCTCACAGTGATAGGAGCCCGGTCCTCCTTCTAATGGGGGGAGGTATGGGAGCTGGCAAGAGCACTGTACTCAAGGATATTCTCAAAGAGTAAGCAATTACATCAAGAAATTTTAGTTTCTAAACAAAAACTAAACATTACTTTGTTAGTTTAATTCTATATAAAGTCTGCACATAATGGATTATTATTGTTTGAGTATATCTATTAATCTTTAACTAGTTTAGATTTTGCAAAAGGAAGTTCATAAATGTGTTGTTTTCTTGTTTCAACTATCATTAGCGCTTATCTAGCTTTAGAGTTTTGATGTACAAGACTCATCATGAAATCGTCAAAATAAACAGTTATAAGAACCTAATGTTGTTTCTTTATGAATGAAATTTAAACAGACCTTTCTGGGCAGGAGCATCAGGAAATGCCGTAGTCATTGAAGCAGATGCCTTCAAAGAATCAGATGTCATTTACAAGGCACTTCGCTCAACAGGCCATCATGACATGATTCGAACAGCCGAACTGGTGAGATAGTTGAGACTCTTCTCCACTCTTACCCTGCAACCTTATTTCTTGAATGAGAGTACATTCACATTGTGCTTAATAAGTTGTTTTTACAAAATATCATGAATATGGACTGAAACAATTTAAACAAATCATAAGTTACTTTTATAAACATTTTCAAACACAGACTTGTACTGTAAGCTTTCTTCTGAACAGTACTAATAATCCAGCAGTCATCATTTCATAACTGTAGCTTGTAAATGACTTTCAATATTGCATCATGGAATCTGGTCCAATCAGGTACACCAATCATCCACAGATGCAGCATCGTCCCTCTTGGTAACAGCACTAAACGAGGGGCGTGACGTAATTATGGACGGCACACTCTCCTGGGTTCCATTTGTTGTGCAGACAATAACAATGGCTAGAAATGTCCACCGCCGCCGCTATCGCATGGGAGTTGGCTACAGGGTCAACAAAGACAGAACCGTAACTGAAAACTATTGGGAACGGGTTGAAGATGAAGAACCTGAACAAGTTGGAGGAAAAAAGAGAAAACCATATAGGATTGAGCTTGTTGGAGTAGTGTGTGATGCATATCTTGCTGTTGTTAGAGGCATAAGGTCATCTTCAATCTTTCCATTTGACAAAATGACTCACAAATCACAAAGAATGAATTCCTCTTAGATATTAATAACTAGAATTGAATGTCAACAGGAGAGCTATCATGAGTAGAAGAGCTGTGAGAGTAAAATCGCAATTGAAATCCCATAAGAGATTTGCTGATGCATTTATGACATACTGTCAATTAGTAGACAATGCCCGTCTATACTGCACAAATGCATTGGAAGGCCCAGCCAAGGTACACAATTCCTACATTATGTTTCTTAACATGTGTTCTAAGGGCACAAGTTATCATTGGCCTAATAGATTTATCATGGCTTCCTTTTTCCTGAATATATTTAACATCTGCTACTGCTGACATTATAACTGGTGTAAAGTTGATAGGATGGAAAGATAGAGACAGAACCTTGCTAGTTGATCCAGATGAAATTGACTGTTTGAAAAGGGTTGCAAAGTTAAATGAAGATGCCAACTCCATATATGAACTCTACAAACAACCCAACCCAGCTTGTGAAGCTGGATCCGTATGGAAAGACATTGTATTATCTCCTTCAAGGTTGAACATCCAACAAGAGCTCAAATTTTCAATCCAAGAAATTGAGCGCTTGAAATGAGAACTTCAAGGAGCACATATAAATTCACCTACGCATTTTTTCAGACAAGGATAAGCAGATGAAAACCATCAAGAGTAGACAAGTAAAGTGTTGAAATTTGTGATATAAGATTTTATGTATGTTTTATCAATGTTAGCTAGTTACCTGTATAAACAAACAGCGTGTAGTCAGAATTTTGTAGCAAACTGCTCATATGCAGTCAATACCTGTAGAGTGCATACTGCATAACGGTCAAATTCATCAATCAAACAACCTACTTCGAGAAATTCTTTAATATGGGAGAGCTCGCATAACAAACGTGACATGCATCTACAGTAGAATCAGTAAAAACCGTTAGTTAGTTAGTTAGTTAGTTACTATTAGAATTTCTGAAACTGTAATTTGCAATTATTCATAGATGCAGAAAGTATAAAGATGTATGAACAGAATACTGATTTAAGCTTCTCAATTTTTATTGAATGAATTCTATTTCAATTACAATAGAGTCTAATCATGTTTATAGGATTCCTAAAGGATAGGAAGAGACTGGCTATAGCTAGTTTACTGATTGACATGTGCCAGTCAGTTACTTACATCACTGCTTAGTTAGAGACATTACAACAGATTCAGTTACATAGCTTAACATAATCAGTTAGAGGGTATGCTTCAGTGTGTCGGGGTCTAGGCCTGTTATATAGTGGGCTTCTACTAATTTAGATAATTCTTTTCTTTAATATGCCCCCACAAGCTTAACTGGAAGTTGCTTCACACACAGTAAGCTTGGACCTGAATTCTTCAAACTGGGAAGGAGAAAGGCCATTGGTCATGACATGATATCTGCATATTGCTGAAGACCGTGGGCAGCCTGGAGCTGCTGCTGTGGAACTTTCTCTCTGACAAAAGAAAGATCCAACTCCATGTGTTTAGTACAAGCATAGAGGATAGGATTATGAGCTAGAGGAATCGTGCTCACATTATCACAATGAATGAGGGGTGTCTTGAACTTGATTCCTAATTCAGAGAGGAGAAATTGTTGCCAGAGAAGTTCTGAGGTAGCTAAGGCTAGCCTCCTGTATTTTTGCTCAGTACTTGACCTAGAAATAACACGTTGCTTCTTACACACCACCTAAACAAATTGAGACCTAGGAACAAACACAGGCCCCAATCAGCATCACAGAAGGCTTGCAGAGTGATAGGAAATGCAGGAACTGGTCTGAGGAGTAGGCCAAGTTGAGTTGGGCCTTTGAGGTAGCGTAGGATTCTTTTAACTGCTTGCCAAAGTGAATCAAGAGGGTGACATACCCTGTTGACAGAGAAGCAAATAGTATGCCTGGTGATGGTGGCATACTAAAGAGCTCCCATGGATCTATATTGAGTAGGATTCGGGAAGGTGTCAGAGCCTTCCTTAGAAAGCTTAAGGCCAACAATCATTTTGAGGGAAGAGGTTTAGCTTCCTGCATGTTGGTCTTTGCTTGTAAGTCCCTGATGTATTTTCCTTGAGAGAGAAGTATACAACCAACTGGTTGAATCTTAACTTTAATATCTAGGAAATAATCCAGATCTCCCAATTCCTTTTTAGAGAAAAAACTGGAACTGAGATTGGTAACTATAGAAGTGAGAAGCTATTTATAGATGCACAAACATTTGTTCTCTGCTATTTATGAAAAACTTGACTCAGAAAACTATCTCTTGTGGTGTCAATAGGTGAACCTGTAATCACAGCTCATAAACTTCATCACTTTTTACTAAATCCTCAAATTCCAGTGAAATTTACTTCACTTGATGACGCGAATCATAATCGCATTCCCCCGCATTTGAAGTTTGGGAACAGCAAGATGAAATACTCCTTGCGTGGTTACACAATCAACCATCTCTCGTTATATGCTTTCATCGCGTTATTAGTTGTAAAAGCTCATGGATGCATTATGGAAAAATCCATGCATATTTTCAACAACACACAGCGGCGAAGCTGAGTCAGCATCGATCAAAACTCCGACACACGTGGTTGGAAAATTGCAAAAACTTTGTTTCGGAATTCTTGTTACGTGTACAATCTCTAATGTGATCCATCATTGCTATTGGCAAACCGATTTCATCACACGAACGCCTTGATGTAACCCTCAAAGGCTTTCCTCGAGATTTTGAATCTACAATCAGCATTATGACTGGAAGATTTGGTTCGGTGTACATTGAAGAAGTTGAAACTCTTCTTCTATGTCATAAATCTCGCCTAGATTGTTTTTGTAAGAACACGATTGCATCTGGAAATGCGAATCTATCTCGTCCACAACCTCTAATGTCACACCTCACGATCAATGCTCAGATTAATCTCACTGAGTCGAACCATAACCTCTCAGATCTGGTGCACTCAGCCAATTTTAAATCTCAGGGAGGCCATGGTGACCGTGGTGGCTCGATTCTATGTCAAGTATGCAGAAAGTATGGAAATGAGGTGTCCATTTGCTATCATCGCTTCAAGAGAGACTTCGTTCCCTCTAGCTCAAGAAGAATCACAAGCTTACGCTACTCCCTCGTTGCCAACTGTGCCCACACCACATACACGTGCTCCCGCTCCATACGCTCGCTCTCAGCCTCTGCCCTGACCTTACTCGGCTTTGAGCATCTTTGGTCCTCAATATCATGTCCCATACCCCTCCATGCCACTCCCTGCTCTGTCTCAGCTAATGATGCCTCACATGAACTCTGCACATAACTCTGCCTTGCCTCATCCAATCCTAATTCCAAGTCTAGCTAAGACTAAGTCTAATTAAAATGAGTTCGGGTTTACCCAAATCATAAGATCAATAAAACTATAAGATGATCATACATCAATGCACAAAGAGCATTGTCAATTACGGATCACGGAAAATAGTGTTATGTTCATGTTCTGCTACCCAACATTGTTTTAGCACCGCTTTTTAACAAAACTTTATATTAAATAGAGTATTCCAGGACAATAATAATTTGTTCAAAGTCGTTATACAGTAGCACTTATAGCACTGCTTTTTAACAAAATTTTATACTGGACAATAATAATTTGTTCAAAGTCTATTATGCAATAGCGCCAACTATTTAAAAACACTTTGCATAAATGAACAATAGTTCAAGTAACTACTGAACATATCAGATACATTAAAAACTTTTCTTTACGGTTATACCATTTCACTCCACCTAATTTTATGATATTACATAGAAATATAGTAATAATTATGTACTTCATAAAGAACAAGTTGTATCTTTTATTTTCATGTATCCCCTACCTTATCATACCTGTATTCAGTAGTATATGTGTATGGGCCTCGTAGATTCTTGGACTTTTCCAATCATTAGATAAGGAAAACCAACATGCCACACTGCACCTCAATTTTGCTGTCTTGTAAAACCTGTTTGCTGTGTTGCTCGCTGGCAGCAGTACCCTGCAAAATAACACTTCATTGTAACAATGATCCTGACATTATACTAGTAAATGTCAAAATTGAGCACCTTGATTCATCATTTTATCTCAACTCCTAATTTTATCATATGATTTCTTTCATTGCCTTATTTAAATTATATAGCCTAACTAATCCAAACTTCTTACAAGAAAAAACAGTTTTTTCAAAGAATGACTTGAAACCCACATATACCTGTTTTCTCAGTTTACAATAAAATTTGATTATATGTTTACCAGTCAACAGTTATAATTGTTTAAACCTTCTAAACATATATGGTTCGGATTGTGCAAGATTTTTTTCCAAATAGACGCAAAACTTCCAAAAACATAGACCAAGTAGTGGCAATTTTAACCATTCAAGTCAAACCAAAATGCTGATTGGATAAGAAAATCATCAAGCAGCGCCTGCTACCACAATAATTAATGATAAAGCTTGCTCCTGGTTCATTAACTTAATTATTTCTGGTCATCTACTACCATTTACTGATGTCTTCAGCACAATCTTTCATTTCAGAGGAATTTAAATGCATTTAGTAACACTAACAGCTAACATGCACAACTACAATTTCTTATTCGTTTCATTTTCCCAGAACTCTCAACATGATTACCATTAGAGGAAATCATATCAAATAGATCTATAGGTATTGGTAATTCTATTCCAAGAAAACAGTGATACAACAATCCATTGGTACAGGTAGCACCAAGAAGAATTGAAGATGGATAAATTCAACAAGTCATCTGCAATAGTTAGGAATAACAAACTGGCATCAAAGAAATTATTAATGCAGTTAATCATAATTCCGAAAAGAAGTTCCATTCCATCCAGCAAAAACAGAACAGCACTAATTTCTTCACATTAATTTATCAAAATCGAGATCCTTTCAAGGAAGGGGTTATAACTCAGATCATAAGATCATATCTTAGATTTTTTTAAAACATCTATTTAAGTAAACTGAGTCGCATTTAATAATGTAAATAAACTACCGAAAAAGCTATTATGGAAAATCGCCATAATGCCATCACGGAAAATTGACAAAACTGGTTCAGAATAGGTCCTTAACCCACCCGCATGGCAAATGCCCAACTAGTGGGATATCGCTTATTAGTTATTACAGCATCTATAAAAACTATTACAGCATTTGCAAAAGCTTCCTCGTTGATCCAGCCAGAATGTGATCATCTGTGCATCTGAACCTATGTGGAAATATACAATTTGATAACCTTGCTTCACATCAATCTAACCCTAAACTTTGGAAACAACATAAAGAAGGACGGGAGCAATTTTTTGCAAGACATTTGAGCAGCCAAAGGTTACCTGTTAAATTATTTCAAAATTGTATATTCATATAAAACTCAAATTAGTTGTTGTTTAAAAGGTTGAAGTTAATATTATGCAGTGAATTAAATTAAAGGTGATTTGAACCAAAATATTTGATCTCTGAATTGTCCAATCTTTAAAATCAGTTTAAAAAAGGAACATGTAAATGGGGAAGCGGCCAATACTACACAGGGAAACTGAATTTTGAGAGCTTGTGGGAATATTTGCCAAGACATTGGAAACAAGGACTATAAACATGGACTGTAAGATCCTATCTGAAAAAATATACAAGTATAACCAAACCTTATAGATAAGAAAACATGACCTTAAATCATCCTCGGAAAATTTAACAACTCAGTATATAACAAACTTCTAGTAAAAGGACAACATGGTGTTGCAAAGCTCTAAATACAATGGGATTCATAGAATGGTCAGACCAATTGTGATTATGAAAGATTAATTTCACAACTGAGGAAAACAGCCTAGACTATAAGACATAAGTTCATAAAACACATAAAATTAAAACACTACAAGTAAACAGTTTAATTACTAAACCAGTCGAATAGAGACATCAAAGTGAACAGAAAATACAGGGTAACTCACAAATTTCAAGTCTGGTCGCCCAACTCAATATGCCTCCATCTGTGGAGTGTCCAATTGTGGAGTATCACTAGTTACAGCATCTATCCATGCTTCATGTTTCCCCATCGATCCGATCACAGATTAATCTTCAGAAGGTATGGATATGGAAGGTAATGTTGAGAGATTATTCGATCCTGCAAGCAGTGCTGTTAATAGTGGTGGCGGCAGTGCTATAGCATAGCAGAATTTGAATGCGATAGTGTAGCGGAATTTGAACAAACCGTTATTGAAAGAAACACACGCGGTGCTATATAGCATAGCAGAATTTGGATGCGATCGTGTAGCAGAATTTGAAAAACAAACAGTTATTTTCCGCTATTCCCGATAGGAAAAACAATCTGCAAAGAAACACAGTTTTGACAACAACCATGATTCACATCCCTCTAAGCTCAGAAACAAAGCATGGGCAGCCCACATTATCGCCAAAACATCTCAAGCAGCTTTGCTAAATACTATAGTTTTTCCTGCTTTTATCTATGCAAAGGGCTTTAGAGAACATGCAAAATCTCTAGTCGTTTTGTTTAAGCATACTAACATGTCCTTAATGGTCATCAGTTCAATAATTTCGCTAAGACTGCATATCAAACATGTTCCAGTCAACCAAAAAAAAAGACATTTAACATAACAGATCAACCATACGCTTCAGATGAATCTTCACATGTAAACCGTAGACTAAATAGCTCTAATTCTCAATGTATTAAACTAGATGAATCTTCTCAATAAATTAGATAACATCAAAAAATGCTGCAAAAGAGGCACAGATTTAAAACAACACTTCCTTGAATTATTTCATGAAATCAGCCATTGAATGAAACGCAACAACGTAGGTTAAAAGCGTAAGGACGCGGCAAGAACCAAAAATGGATCTTCATAAAAAAAACGTTTAGGGATTTTATACCAAACATGCATAGATAATAGATCTAAATAATTTTCATTGACAAAACCCAAGGATTTTTTCAATATCATAAAATAAAAAAATATGAACTTTTACCTAATTGCATAGCTTGGTGCAACAAACGAGATCCAAAAAAATCATCTAGAATAAACCAGATCTATTCTATAACATCGTAATGTAATACAACCTACATTTAGAGGATTCTTTTACCAACCATAGATCAATACGTAGAAATGAATAAGATCTAACGAAAATAACAGATGAAAACACATTTATTCCATTTGTGAAATCGTCAAAAAAAGGTTTAGGAATTTTTTCCAACACTACATAAAATGCATCGAAACAGATCTGAAATCAACCTATTACAGAAACCAGATCCAGTAAATTGTAAGTTCATTAAACCAGAATTTAGGGATTTAACATCATGAATACAAAGAGAAAGAGATATACACAAGCAATGAAAAAATTCAAGAGCAAAAGCGCAGATAATTTGCATTGATAACATTGATAATTAATAAACAAGATCTGAAGAAAAATGATGCTCAAAATACAGATCCATTTGGTTGTAAAAAGAGCACTATAACAAGACATTGAAACCCTAAAATCCCTTCTAGCTTTGATTTATGATGAAACTCAATAATAGAGGAAAATTACATAGCTAGAAAACTGTGTAGCAAACGATGAATATAAAAGTTTAATAAATTCAGAATTTGACAACTTCTGTAACTAAACCGCAGACCAGAGAAAAATTTACAGCTAACGCTACAAACACTAGCTTCACTAATTACCCTCACAACCTTCATTTCTTCCCTCTCTTTGCCGCTGCCTTCTTCGCTGGAGATTTCGCAGTCTTTGCCTTCGCTGCCGCTTTCACCGGAGTCTTCTTCACAGGAGCAGCCTTCTTCACCGTCGGCTTTGGAGCAGCAGCTTTAGCTGCAGGTGAAGTCCTCGTCGAGGTTCTTGCAGCTTTAGCTGGCTTAGCAGCCGGCTTAGCCTTAGCAGCTGGCTTCGCTTTTGCAGCTGGCTTGGCCTTAGCAGCAGCTTTGGGCTTCGCGGCAGGCTTGGCCTTGGCAGCTGGCTTGGCGGAGACAGTCTTAGCTGGTTTGGCAGCGGGTTTAGCTTTGGCAGCAGGCTTTGCCTTAGCAGCCGGCTTAGCCTTTGCAGCTGGCTTGGCCTTAGCTGCAGGCTTAGCTTTGGCAGCAGGCTTGGCCTTGGCAGCTGGCTTGGCCTTTGACTTGGTTGCAGCTTTAGCCTTGGGCTTGGCTTTGGACTTTGAAGCAGCAGGCTTCTTGGCGGGCTTTGCAGCAGTGGACTTTGCCGGTAACTTGTAAGACGCTTTCACCTTCACGAGCTTGCCAGAAGCAACAAGCTTCTTGATCTGAACCAGCAAAAGCTTCTTGAAGTTCGATGGGAGCTGCTTGTGCTTCTCTTCAATGAACTTCGCTATCGCATACTGGCTCGAACCGCTCTTCTCCTTCAATGCAACAATTGCTTCCTTAACCATCTGAAAAATTCAATTCCAAAGAATAAGAAAAAGAAAACGAAAGATTAGAATATGATTACGAAATGGGAATAACAGTAATGAGTTGGATTGAGCAAGAATGAGTTAACTACCTCTTCATAGGTGGGATGAGTTCGGGGCTTGGCCGGAGCTTTCTTGGCCTTGGGCTCCTTGGGTGCCTTCTTGGGCTTGGCAGCGGGCTCCTCAGCTTCATTGACAACTGGTGGGAGGGTGTCGACGGCTGCCGGCTCTTCCACAATGGGTTGTTCGACGGCGACGGTGGTGGGCTCTTCAGACGCCATTGCTTGAACTCGAAAACGGGAAAAGAGGGAGAAAAAGAATGGATATGATAATGGATCTGTTGAAAGATGTTGTAGCTTTCAGCGAAATTTTTGGTGTGAGAATAAACGAAAATTACGTGGTTTATATAATATGTGAATCGAGAACAACATCCAAATGCTGAATCCTGATTGGTCCGTTTCTCTACACAAGGATTCATCCATTATTAAAGTTTAAATATCAACCCTTGGATGTAACTCTATCGACGGTTTCGGTTCCGTGTGGAGAAGGCAGAAATGGGAAATTTTAGAAGAATGGATCTTGTTGGTAAAAATTTGGGTGTGCTTTTAAGCTCGAATGATTTGATTATATCTCATTGGTTTTTTAATGGAATTGAGTGAGGTTTTTTGCAGATTGTAGATTATTTTGTGATATTTCTAATGAATGTCTTAGAGTGATAAATGGTTTGGTATTTTGGGAGAAATTTTGTTTTGAAGTGACATTGGTTTTGATTAGGGTTTCTTGTGATGGTATCATGGTTTTTAGATCATTTAGAGGAATGATTTGCACTTGGATTGGATTTTAAGAGTTGTATGTGATAATAGGGTAAATGAGGATTTCGTCGCATCAAAAATTTTGAAATTCTAATGAGATTTGAGTACTTAACTATTGATCAAAAGGTAACTAAGGTTGAACAAAAAATTTCAATGAACATTCAGTGCTTTGTATAATGCATGAAACAATGAATTTTTCTTATATACTTTCCTCATGTGTACTAAAACTTGAAATTCATCTGCACATATAAAATGTTGCTATAATTTAGAGGTGCTAATTGTGATATTTTGTTTAATTTTGAATTCTTCACAATCAATTATAATATTTGTGGTATATTAACATTTTAACAAGTATTTTTCTTTATATGTGTATGATGACTTTTGATTAAGAGTATGACTTATTTTCTCTTGAAAATTTTAAATTGGTTAGATTATGGAATTTGTGATTACCTATATTATGTGGTGAAAAGATTTGAAACAAAGGTTGTTAGTTAAACTCACCATTGTTTTTATCTAAACAAGTTGTGAGCTCAAATAAGACATTTTCGCCTTATTTAATTTCAAACACATCACACTTTGATATTTTTTTTAACATGTTACTTTGATATTTAATAACCAAAATATTGAAGATGTATACATGCCCATCAAATTATTAATCAATAATAGTCAATTATTTATCTAAGTTTGTATTAAGGTGATTTATAATGGTATTGTTCAAGAAATCAATACAACATTTTTACTAATTTATTAATTTCATTATTTTTTTACAAAAACTCGTGATAATGGCATGATGGTTCGGATCATACTCATTTTATTAAATATAATATAATATAGTTTACACACTTCGATAATATAGTTTAACATTTTTCTTCTTGAGTGTATCCTCAGTCCAGCCATTGTTTTACACACTTCTAGTTGTTCTATAGTCAGTTGTGTTTTATCTAATTTACCTTGCCGATGTGTAATCTTCTGGTGAGCACAACAATCAGCTCCTAGCATTGTTGTATTCCATCCCACACACTACTTCAGCAACCAATTTCCAGCATCGACCATTGCAAAGCCCCCTCTGCCACATTCCAATGTGTTTTTATAATTTTTTGGTGATTTTTCAACAACTTTTCTTCTCTAATCTCATGTAGATCGTGTCTGGGGATTGGACAAGTTGTCTCTCTTATTTCGTTTTCAATTTCACTAGGCTCCATCTAATTCCTTACAAAAAAATGGTAGATAGTGCTAATTATGCATGTTTGGCTGTTGTAGTTGAACTTTGATTTGAAGGAAAAGATCGTGAGAATCATTTGCTCAAACATCACAAAGATATTCCAACCAAGGATCAAGCAAATTAGAACTATGTTTATGTTTTTCTTCGCAGTGTTATTTGATATTCTATCAATGTCATACTTCAATCTCGGTTTTGTTCTTTTAAAACGTGTTATGACATTTAGGGAAAGGCGAAAAGGACTTATTTTAATGATGTTAATCATTTGTACAAAGTTATCTCTAATCTCATTTCCAGAAATAAAAAACGAACATGGATATGTGATCAGTGGTTTTTATACGCTATTTTGCCATTAGTTTTAGTTAATCATTTTTATTGTTTAGTCGCATTTCGTTCGTTTTTATTGCATTTTACGCGTCGGTTTGGTATTTCCATTGTTTTTATGTTCAGGTAAACAATAAAAGAGAATCAGAGCAAAAATCAGGGATAACAACAAGAATTCGGACGAGTTTTGAAGTGGACCAGGAGTTTGACACGGTCGCCCGTGTCACCTGACACGGCCCGTGTCAGGAAGTGCTCAGAAAGGCAAATATTGGTGGAAACCAGGGAGCTGACATGGCCCGTGTCAGCACACCTAGAACTTAGAAAATTCTTGTGCAAATGTAACAGGGAGCCAACACGGCTGCCCGTGTCAGCTGACACGGCCCGTGTTGGCTAAAACGCTTCATCTTCTTTTTTTATTGGATTTTTGGCATTTGTGATCCATGAGGGTATTTTGGGTATTTCCCTATTGCTGGGTTGGACCTGAGACTATTTAAGACGTGTTTTGAGAAGAAAAAAATGACCTTTGGACAAAAAAGAATTTTACGATCAAGATTGCAGCGATCAAAGATTGGGGAAACTGAAGGTTTTCATGAGCGGAACCAGTTGAAGATTAAGGCAACCATATTGTCTTGTAATGTTCATTCTAACTGTTGAATTTATTTTAAATAGTATGAGTAGCTAAACCCCCCAATGCTAGGGGGTGTCCCTGAATTGACTCTGTAATGACCTTATTTTCTTTGAGATATTGATTTCATTACTTTCTAATCATCGTTGTTATTGTATAATGTTCTTAAGACTTTTCTTATCTGACAAATAAGGATTCAATTTACGGTTAACCTTAGGTTTGGAAAAACGATCGTTAACGCTTTTATACGATAATACTTTCGTAGACATTGTCTAGGAATGGGGATACCCTATAGTAACCGTAGTGTTTTAGATAATATAAATTGCTTGGTATTGTTCCTATACTGCCAAGGAATTGGGGTATAGGGAGAATACCAAAGGGTTTTCTGCTTAGGAATTAGAGTAAACTAATCTTTAAAACCGGTACCGATTGAATTGAGCAGTGATTCCTAAAAACAAGAAGTAAGGTTCTTACGAGGCTTTTTATACACCCTACCCTATCATGCTCCTAATAACTGTCCAAAACCTTTATTTTACGCTTTTTGCCTTTTGGCTTTTACATTTTTAAAACAACAAACTAAAACCCCTTTGACTTTTAGTTCGATTGCATTATTATAGAACTTGTATTCATACACAGTCCACGAGATTGATATTCGGGGAATTTCCCCTTATTACTACATCGGTAAAGATAGTACACTTGCTATTTTACCGATCAAGTCTTTAGCACCGTTGCTGGGGACTGCCAGAATATCAGTTCAATTTTAATTCAATTGAAATTTTGTTGCTCTGCAACCAAAATTTTATTTTCAGTTTTTATTTTTTATTTTTATTATTATTTTTGTTACTACTAATCTGTGTCTAACATTTTCATGCGAGGAGATCCCTTAGCTAATTTTTCTTTGGACTCAGAAATTGAAGGACTCTGCACGAAAGACGTAGACAAGCTAGACTATTAGCTTCAGAAGACGAAAGAGTTTCTATTCAAAGCTGGAAGAAAAATCATTGAAGCCATTGCTGCAAATGAGCATCTAGAACTATATGACCGGAGTGTGGGTAAGCTGGAAGAAATAATTGATTTGAAGTTGACTGCACAAGTTGTGAAAATGGAAGAGCAAATCAAAGCTGAAGTGGAAAGAAGGCTTAAGGGAATGAATGTGAGTACTGAAACTGTAGCTCAAGTTCAACCTGTCCAAGCTGTGAGTTGTGAGGTTTGTAATGGACCTCATTTTACTGCGTATTATTTTGCTACTGCTCAAAGGTTGAAGAGATAAAATATTTGAGGCAGAAAAATCCGTATTCTCAGACTTATAATCTAGGATGGAAAAATCATCCTAACTTTTCTTGGAAAGATCAGAGTCAATCTCCACATCTGCAACAACAACAGACTCTTCAAAAAGCAGAATGGGAGATAGCTATCGAAAAAATGGCAGCTCAAAATATTCAATTCCGAGAAGACACCCGTAATATTCAAAGGAATAACACAACTTCCATAAAAAATCTGGAGAATCAAATGGGGCAGATATACCAACACCTCTCAACACACGCTCAAGGAACCCTCCCGAGTGCGACAGTACCGAACCCGAAAAATCAAGAGAGTATTAATGTTGTCACAACAAGAAATCAGAAAATGATAAAAGAAGAGGAAACAAATGAGTATGAATGTATAGAGGTGGAACTTGAGGTAAGAGAACAAGCGAAAGAACCAGAAGAAGTTGTACCATCTGAAAAACCAATTGAAGAGAAAAAGAAAGAGGAGGTTAAACCGAAAAGCAAGCTACTTTATCCTCAAAGAGTCACAAGAGAAGGATCAAAAAGAGAAAGACTTTGGAAGATTCAGCGTAATGTTCAACAAATTGGAAATCAATATGCCTTTTTTTGAAGCACTCGAGCAAATGCCTTTGTACAAGAAATTCATGAAAGAGGTAATAGGTAAAAAAAGATCAATGGGTGAAGAACCGAAGATCACAACTAAGCAATGTAAGGAAATATCACAAGAAAAGAGAATCCCCATCAAGAGGAAGGATCCTGGACCAGTAGTAATCCCTTATACTATAAAAGATAGAACTTTTAAGAAAGTCCTAATTGATTTAGGTGCTAGTGTGAGTCTCATGCCTTTGTCTATTTTTAAAAAGGTGGATATTGGAAAAGTGAGCGATACGGGAACAAGCTTGAAGTTCTCTGACCACACAACTAAGAGGGCATATGGGCTAGCAGAGGATGTACTAGCGACAATCGATAACTTTACCTTCCCAAATGATTTTCAAATTATGGATATTCCAAAAGATGAAGAGACTTCGATCAT